TTTTGTAATTTGGAGATTTTGATATCAAGTACAAATCTACTTAGTAAAGCAAGAAAGGTTTTATTTAAGAAAACGTTTCTTTTTTAGTAAGGACTCTTAATTTGACGTTACACAACTCAAGTGGTCGGATATTTATGGTAGGTGAGTGTACATGGAAAGAAAATCATTGCCAAATTTGGTGCAAAGAAATTAAATTTTCTTCGTGGCGCAGAAAATACTAATAAGTCGGACATTTATTTATATATTATAAAGTACTTTAGATTGCTGCGCCTTTCATATCGAGTTTAGATGTGTAAAATACACAAGTCCTTGGTAACTTTTATTTTCAAATTCGATTTAAAAAAGGGATATTCCCTAAATGTATAATATTTTTTAAAAAATAATGATAATAAAATAACAATAATAAAACAATAATAATAAAGTAATAAAAAAGAAATATTGTATTTGAAAAAAAAATATATAAAAAAAATAAGAATTATTTATTTATTTTGATAAAGTTTTATTTAACTCGGCAAGATTTCGTTCAACGTTGATTTCCAACCGTTCTACACGAATAAAAAGTTTACTTAAAAGATTATAAATATCTTCATTACTGATATTATTATAATGATAATGACCATTATCGAAAATATTATTTTGTGATAAATTGTTGCTTGCAAAAATATTTTGGTTTCTATGTTTTTCCATTTGATCAATACGTTTTTCAAGACGTGCCAAGAGCCAAACAATATTATTATTGCTTTCGTGAGAAAAAGAAGAAGGATCATTTAATAATGGAGTCGAGACTGAAGGTTTCCTATTGTTATCGCTGGCAATGGCAAATGTGGCGTTGACGTTTGCAGCAGTATTGGTAATGTTGGTAGCAGAAACGATATTTTGATAATTTGGAAACATTTGAGTATTTTGTGGTGGCGGTGGTGGTGGCGGTGGTGGTGGTGGTGAATATTGATTGGGATTGTGATAATTTATAGTATTATCTAAAGTGTTTATATTGGAATGTTGTTGATAAAAACTATTGGTTAGAGGAAGTGTGGAATAATTATAATCACTCATATTTATGATAAATAATGTTATTCGATTTTATGTATTTTTTTGAATGATTTTTTTTTTTTTTTTATAAAAATTTTGTTATTTTGTTGAATATTTTTTAGAAAATATTTTGATTTTGGGGTGTATTTATATTTATATATATACTTTACTAATATATTCGGGTTACTTATTTTTTATGTTGCGTAACGTATTAGCAAGTTTTTTTTTTTATCTGAATGTGTGAATTGTAACAAGGTTACAACTGAGAACGCAATGTGAGCTTTTGCTTTTCGTGTTACAAAACACGCATACCGTGCTACGCGAGA